GCTTTGCTCACTTGCGCTCTCTCTTATCTCTCTCTGTCTGACAAATAAATAAATAAAATCTTAAAAAAAAAAATCCACCTCTATATCCTTTTTAAAATACTTAACTTTTCAGCAGAGTGAAATCACCGTGTGCATGTGGGGGTGGTATTAAGAGCGCCAACTCTGGAGCCAGCTGCCTGCTTGTGACCCCCGTTCTCCCACTTCCTCTCTGATCCTGGCTAGTTCTTACTTCTCTATGCCTCAGATTCCTTCCTGGTAAAACAGATCTCCCTCAAAGTCTGTATGAGAGCTAAATATACAGAAAGCCCTTAGGACGGCGCCTGGCAAGTGTTAAGTCCTTTATAAGCGCTAGCTATTATTACCTAGGGGGTGGTTGGGGTTTGTTCATAAGCAAAATGCTGCATAGGGTCCAAATGGTTTAGTCACCAAGTTGATCCTAATGGAATTCACGAGTCAACAGAGGTGGGGGAGAAGGTCCACTTAGCTTTTTAAACCACAAACTTGCAAAAAAAAAAAATTTAAAAAAAACACAAACTTGCACTTCTATGGTTTTGCTGTGTTCCTCATAGGCCCGTTTATTTATTCTGACATTCTGGATTACAAAAATCTTCGGGAGATCGTGGTAAACAACCGCATCACCTGGTTGTTTCATTATAGTGCTTTGCTCAGTGCGGTTGGGGAAGCAAACGTATCCTTGGCCAGAGCCGTAAATATCACCGGTAAGTTTCTGGGTCTTGCCCAAAATGGCTGATTTGCCAGTTTTTCCAGGTCTTCGGTAGGAGATTTTTCAGACTGCGGTCATGTCCGTTCATTTCAGGATTGCATAACGTCCTGGATGTCGCAGCAGAGCACAACTTGCGATTGTTTGTGCCTAGCACAATCGGAGCTTTTGGACCTACTTCTCCCCGGAATCCAACTCCCGATCTCTGTGTTCAGAGGCCCAGGACGATCTACGGGGTGTCCAAGGTCCACGCCGAACTTATGGGAGAAGTAAGCCTTGCTTGGCAAGATGACTCAGCGTTGCCTTTTCTATTCTTTCTGCCTCGTACACTTGCTGATTCATCCTTGGAGGGGACATTTCCCTCCACCCCCACCCCCAGCACAGCCCCCAGAAGTGCTCCCTGGCTGACTGTGTTTGCTAAGTGGCACGTATGGATAGCTCCAGAAGAACTCCTTAGCCCTTGGCCTTGTGATAACACGCAACCCTTCCCAGAGGCCCCTCGATGGCATCCCCTTCTTCATTTGCTGCCTGTCTTACGGGTTCTGCTCCATTCTGTCAGCCTTCCGCTATTGGCAGTAATGGGAGGTGATTTTCAAACTTTGTGTTTATGGAGAACATCAAATGACTTTGGTTCTATTTTTTTAAATACTCTTTGTCTTTAAAACTCTATGCTAAGGGGAGCCTGGGTGGCTCAGTCAGTTAAGCGTCTGCTTTCGGCTCGGGTCATGATCCCAGGGTCCCAGGATCGAGTCCCACATCGGGCTCTCTGCTCAGCAGGGAGTCGGCTTCTCCCTCTGCCCCTCCCCCTGCTCATGCTCTCTCTCCCTCTCATTTTCTCTCTCTCTCGCAAATAAATAAAATAAAAAATCTTTTTTTTCCTTTTTTTTTTTTAAGATTTTATTTATTTGCGAGAGAGAGAATGAGAGACAGAGAGCATGAGAGGGAG